ATAGCTCACTAATTCTGATAGACCTCTCAGATTAAACTGTCAAGTAATTACATTGCGAGCATTTACTAAAAGCAAAAAAAAAAAAAAAAAAATACTTCACAGCCCAATTACAATCCAATTCTAAATGCTTTCTCAAGTTTAGCATTTTCTGTCTTCATGGGATATTGCATATCTTTAACAAATTCAGGCCGTTTTTACATTATACATGTAAGCAAACTAAAATATTAATACACTTTACGTATGTATTTTTGTAAAATGGCCGAATAGAGGAGTCATATATTTTTATTGTTGTAGACCCTTGAAAGAAAGCAGAGAAAATCAAAGTGTGAACGAATTGCCTGCGTCTGTGTCTGACCATTGTTACTATGGTTTCCACTCAAGCTACGTCATGAGTTTTGATGCAAATTATTCTTCTACGTAAGAGAAACATCATCAAACTAAAAATCTTACGATGAGTTACAATATTTGAATGGATGAGCCATAATAAGCCGTAATTCTCAACTCAATCTGGAATTGTGTTAGCTCTTTGATGTTCTGACATTTAGTTTTAGAGTTTTAGTTTTCGTTTTTTTTAAAGTTACATATTAATGCCATTTTGCCATATTTACATGTTACCAGTAAAGAGTGTAATCCGTTTTGGAGAATCAAGGGAAACCAATATAAACAGCCCTAAAGTAAAATGACTCCTCCTACTGGTTAGGCCCAGAACATCAGAGTAAATAAAGATTTCTGTTGTCATGCATGTTCGCATAATTACAACCTCAGAATCTACACTGTGTACAAATAATAGGTAACACAATATCAACTCAGGAGGGAGTGCTGTTGACCATCCTATGGGTCAAGGATTTCCTCAAACCATGTGAAGGCCTCCAGATGCAAGATGCCAAGCAATAAAAATCGGAATAATCAAACTGATAATTGTTATGACATGAAATATCACAGCACATGTCAGGCTGAAATGTAGGTGTTGCAACTACATCATAAAGAAAGCAAAGCCAAAAGGTCAAATGCCTATAATACATAAAATATTAATACCCTCCCCTACTGTCAATACTACATTCCATAAGAATAGGTATTGGGAAATTTATGTGAGCTGAGGTATCAAAATGTAATGTTTTCAGTTCCTGCCAGTGTTTGCCTCAAACTCCATGCACATTCACCCTTGCACTGCATGTTGTTCAATACTCATATCGAGAATTATATACGTATACACAGGTTTTTATAATGTATAGCTGGCGTCAGTTCTCTATCTAGGACAATGTGTGTTTATTTTCTCGTGTATTCATCAGAATACAACATGTGTTGCACTGAAATAAATGCCATTGTCTGATCATAAGATTCCTTAAAGAGGAATTAACTGACTCTGACCTTGACAATTAATTACTTTAGTGAAGGTCACCATCCAAACGGGTGAGATGGTTAAGATAACCTTGTAATCTGACTTAGTTACCTCTGACGGTAAAGCTAACAGCATAACAGTGAACAATACTATAAACCTTGTTTAATTGTAATTTAGCATTTTTCATTCGGTCGAATAATCAATTGCGAACCAACTGACAAACTCTTTAAAAGTCTCTGTCAGTGGCATGTGAGCATTACGTTCGAAGCACTATGAGGGTTTGATGTTTCCAAAATAAACAGCACACAATAAACCTTTTGAGCCACCAATCCCAATATTCCTAAGATCATGATTTATTTGTTGTCCTTTGGTTGCATTTATCATTTCCATCTCACCAAAAATAGACAAAAGAATATCTTTAACATTAAAAAAAAAAACTTTAGTAAACATTAAGAATAGGAATATTATAATAACTAATATTATAGAAGCTGCCACTATCCCAAAGTCTATATGAATTAATATACCGCATCTATCACAAGCAAAAAAATAAAAATAATATTCATGCACAGAAATTAAAAACCACTTTGCTGTATCATTAAACATCCACAAACAATATTCAAAGGTCATGGAGCATGAATGTAACAAAACAAAAAAAGTGTTTGAAGTCAAACATATTATGATCACAACCTCTTAACTGCTACAATAATAACTCAATGAGCTGATCATTATATAAGCAACAATCAGATCAATAAACACATCACTCTTTAGTGCAAAAACAAATAAATTAAAAAAAGAAAAAAGTTAAGTCATAAAAATACAGGCTTAATATTAATGTTGGGAAAAGCTCTTTCAGAAACAATACATGTTTGTTCTAGAGTTCTCTTAGTTAGCCTACTGTTTATATGATATCACTAACTAACAATACTTTAATGTAGTACCTCAATACTTTAAAAAAGAAGCATAAATCCACTCAAGAATGACCAGCTCTCACAGGTACGTCCAGGTAGCCTACATAACGTCTTAAAAACTTACAGACACAAGTCTCACATATTTCTAAGCATCACATAACTAGCTAAAGCTAACCCCATTACTCACAAGCAAGCAGAAAGATCTCGTTTAGTAAACTGCAGGACATACGGGCAGAGAAACAGTGCGACTGCTGTGACTTCCAGAACGTGTATTTGCAACACATTCAAGGAAAATTAAAAAGTGTGTTTTCGGTTTTGGTGTACTCAGTCGTAAACTAACGTGAAACATACATCTCAAGGACTTGTTCACATATAAAGCCACTTTAAAGTCGGTAGAACATGCAGCAAAGGCCCTCCTCCCGATTCTAGCTACTGTCCAAATCAGCCATAAAACTACACACGTTTTTAATAGATACACATAGGCTACAGCACGCGACTAAAAACAGATTTAAATGGAATTAAACAGGTGCACAAGAATAAGGAAGAACGTGTTAAAATGTAACAGTCGTGCAGCTACATGTGGAGAAAATGCTTGATTCACAAACTAATATATAACTTGTATTTCAATTAAATGTGCTGACTAAAATGAAAACTATTTGCCATAAATATAGAAAGAGTTCATTTACTCGACGTTAACGTACTTGCAGACCCACGAAGAATTTTATAAAACAGTTCTATGAAAAATAGTCCGGAAATCAGCTAAAAAAATAAAAGTGCAGTGAAAAAATAAAAACACTGAACATATTGTTTCTGGCATAGCCTAGGCTATAAGTTAAAAAATAACTGGAGAATGCTATAATATTTTACGATGGTTTATAGTAAGACTGCCTTACGCTAATGCATGCCTAGCCCACACATCTTATCCTTATAGGCACGTGCAAAGTGTCTGAAACACAAAGAAATGCAAAGGGAGAGACTGAAGTTTTCATCGTGAAACTACATTTAACGGGGATTGAAGTAGCCTAGGCTAAAGACAAGAGGTGTTTATTCAGACATCCACAGCTTTAGGAGACTGGCTCGCAGCGCACAGGGTTAACAGAACAGAGGTCATGACTGAGAGCTACCAAATCCTAAAATCATCTTACTTCATAAGAGCCCAATAATATGCTTGTATACGCCAGCACGTCACTTAAAACAAAAATCGGCAATTTGGCTATTGATTTTGTATCAATAAGTCAGACTTCCAAGGCCGAAGCGTCTGAGAGCGGCCAGCAAATCCACAAAAAAAAAAAAAAAAAAAACTCTAACAAACATGCACACTGCTAAATAAAATATGATAACTGCATTTCGCTTAGGCTATATCGTAAAATAACAAGGTTTTCCTTCATTCAGCTCATTCGTTCAGATAAAACACCCCAATAATAAAAGTAGCCAACATCGAATAGAATCTCCCCACATAAATGACATCCTTTCCATGCCGTTTTCTATAAATAAACAGAACATATAAGACAGACATTTTATAATACAGCGTCGGGAAACAGAGTGCATATGATAAATTAATGAAAATGTTTTTTTCCACTACGGGCCAATGCCATGGCTCTCACGCCCGCCGTCTCGTGCTTCAGATAACAATGCAATCAGCGTTGCATCCAAAAACTGAAGACGAGCTCCTCTGTGTTTTGCCATATTAAGTTTTTTGGTGTGTGTGTGTGTGTGTTAAAATGGCCGAGTGATTTATTGTTTGCTTGTAACGCGTGCGTTACAGGCAACAAGCTGGCACTTCACAACACGGAGTCAAAATGAGGTCATTCATAAGTAGTACAGGCATTAGAATACGGAACAGATGGCCATTTATCTTTTGTAACTAAAACGGCATTTCAGCTTCTCCGCGTACTTGGAGCGAGGGCTAAAATTGCTGCGTATCCCCATTTAATGATGACAAATAACGGACCCGGTAAAGCGCCAGACACACTCCCTACTACAAAACTCCACAGCTTCGCTCAGAATTTGTCCGCGCAAAACAGCGACATACGCAACAATTCGGCTCCGTCTCAGATATCCCGAGAGCAGAGGCTAGCGCGCAAATCTACCGGGGTCAATAAAATATTAGCAATGGCCCGGAAAACACTAGGCGGCTGAAACGTTGAAATCATCAGAACATTTGTTACTGTAGCGCCGACGGCCTTTAATCGGTGATACTTGACACTTAACACACGGTTAGAGCGGTGTTATTGTATCAGATATTTTGCTCGTGCGTAGGGAAGACCCTAGCGGCTCTGCTGGCTCGTATTGTGCTTTTCGTGTCACGGTTCAGTGTTGCGTTGAGCACTTCGCAAATTATTCAAATACCCCGTGAAATAATACAACTTGCAAAAACTACCGACAAAGTCCTCGTAGCCTGACAACTGTTCGGCTACTTCCTAGAAAATGCGTGATCAAGCAGGGAATTACATGCTCATTTTACCTGAGACGTCACTTCAGGCAAGCACGAGTCTTTATGGTTTAATTTCAGACAAACGTTGGCTGTTCTGACTGAGAGAACTGTACCAACTAAATGTAATTTCACAAGTTTTCCGTATCTTCTTCAAAGCCGCCTTATCTGTAGCCTATTGATGGACAAAGACTAAAGTCTTGCGCTTGAGTTATTAGTATAAGTTTTTTTTTCCAGCTCATAGCACGGGAATGACTGCTATTACTCTTATAAATAGCCTAACATAAATAGTATAAGTACCCTCCCTCTCCCTGTTCCTTACCTGCTGCTTTAAGGGTCTTTCTTCTCCAGTGGCCACAGCGCTTCACAGCTTCCCCGGTTTTCCCCAGGCAAGGACTGAGTTTATTAATATTGTCCCTTACTTTGTTTCATTTCTCACTTCCATCTTCTTACAGCAGTGAACAGTAATTAATTAACAGTAATTTTAATGCGTCCCACTAAGATTGCGTGATGTCAAAAGTCCAACGAGACATATTTACAAACAACAAACCATTTCTAGCGTACGCATTCTGTATATTATTTTGCTAAATAAGGCTTGGCTCGCGTAAATATTTCGTCACATGTACCAACCCCTCTCCTCCATTCATTCACATCATTCCTCATAAATGAGGTTTCCGGTTGGGTTGCACGCTTTTCTTGACGCTGAGCTCCTCCTTTCGGTTACAGACATGAACAGCAGCGTTTTACCGAGAGGTTCACCGGGGGACACGCACGCCGTCTGCCCTACATAGAATGCACTCATTGTAGGCCGGGGTGTCAGCTGAGGACGACTTGCAACCTAGAAACGGCGCTTAGGCCCCTCCTTCCCTTTGTCAGGCGCATTGCAAATGTTAGCCCGAGGTCTTCTGAGGTGTTCTTTTTTCCCCCCCGAAAATAGCTCGTAAAATTGGCATGGACTGCACAACGCGCTTTTCTCCATTTTTCAGGGGCTGTCGAGGCCCCTCGCGATTCTTCATCATCATCCGAGCCCTTTGTGTACAGTTGCTAGGGGTTACAGTGTGACATTTCATTTCAAACAGTCCTGCTCTCGATGCATGCGAGTCCCATTTCTGCATGCTCACACAAAACGGGCTAAAGACAAAGTTTGGTCTTTATTTCGAACAGAGGTAATGCGCCTTTCTTACAGAGCGAACGCTAAATCTATGATGCTTCGCAGAAGTACACTTCGCAACTTACTTTTTGCACGTGTGGTTTTTAGCAGCCTGCTACAGCAACACAAACTTTGTGCGATGGCAGATTCTGGTTTAGCAGAAAAACTGCTCATCACCGAGAGTGCGGAGACCTCGCGCCCTTCCTCAGTGTTCACGGAGCCTTACGCGCGCGCTATTAACTATATGGAGACTCACAATGTTCTTCAGATCTTTCAGGTGAGAAAGAACAAAGCTGCAGCCACTGGTATTTATTCTTACGAAGAAAATGGTAGACAGTGATGAATTGCTTTGCACAAAATGGCGAAGGACAATTCAGAGCACTAATAGAAGTTCCTCAAAACGGAGAAAGCGTAGCGTGTTAATAACGCATTATTCTGGTTTATTTAATAAAGAGCTGCATATTGTTTTATGAGTATTACGAAAACAAACAAACTAAATAGAGCTCTGACTAACTACCAATGTCATTTTAGCAGCAGATATGAAACACTGTGTTGCTTGAGACATCCAGGACAAGACTGTGCATTGTGTTTTTCTCATTTGTGCTATTTCAGGACATCACAGAGAAACTGGTTTTTGATAGACCAGGTGATCCACTTCAGTTCATGTTAGAACAGGTATTTTTTTTTATCTGATTTTTTATTTTTTTTGTACTTTTCATATCATCTATTAAGTGTGTTTTATAGACCTATATATTTTATATAGATTTGTTTCAGACAAACATCATAAGTTTTTCTGGGATATTTCTTGATGGCAGTACATTTAAGAAGGATACGAGCTGATCTTGTTAAATATATTGCATACTGTAGTCACCGTCATTTAACTTGGCCCTATAAACATGATTACTATTATTTTTTTTTTAATAGTTGCAAACCATTCTAATCACAACTGACTTTACAAAAACTTTTGCAGGTACAGATGAAGATCAAAATCCGTGATGAGTCAAGCAACACTTTTGTGAAATCATAACGAATTCTAAAGCATCAAGGGCTTTGCAACAAATTGAATACAAGTTTCTGCTTCTATTTCTTTAAATGAGGTGTATTGGTTGCTGCAGGTCATTCCGTGACTCTGCATTGTTGTTTCCAAGCAACTGTCTTCAGGTTTTTATTTATTTATTTATTTATTTTTAACATCTCCAAATGTATCATGTTTTACCACAGTTTTTGGAAGACACTATTTGCATTCATTCTCAGTCAAACAGCGCTGAAATCTTAATAATGTAGTTCCTGACATAAATATCTCAATGAACACACTCAAGTGGCAAGTGAAGAAAAACAGTATTTAACATAAGAGGAATTACTGACAGGTTTTCTCTGGATTTCAGAGACACAGAATAGATGGATTTGCACTCATAATTCTTAGATTGTTACTGTTTTTACGAATTAACTGTGTTTATAAGCTACTTCTAGCTTATATGCAAGTATTCTCCAAAATAAATAAATAAATAAAATGCTAGCCGGACAAAAGTAGCTGGCTTTTGCTCTGTACTCGAATTTCCATGGTGGCTTTTGTGTGCATAAGTAAAGGAAGTCTTTGTTTATATATTAGGCTCTTCATATACGGTGTATTTCTAGCAATCTACTGTACGTTTAGTCTAGAGCAACATCTGGTGTTTCAAGACCGGTCTATCACATGCAGTCATTTCATTTGCAATTAAAAATAAGTTCCAAATATTTTCACAGTTTCATTATCTGTTTGCATTTATTGTGTATTTTTAACTGCCATTTGTATGTAATGAGTAAAGGAGAGTAGATTAAAGATGCGTTTATTATAGATGTGTAGATTAAAGCCCAGTTTTTGACCATCACATGAACAGAGAGGACCCATCTTGTACAGCTGCCTGTGATTGAAAGATGTGAATAGAATTTGTTAGGCCAAGTAAAATATTACAGATAATTATAATAATTATAAGGTCTAAAAATATAATCATACGTGTTGGTAAATGCATGTTTAAAACCTAAAAAAAGCATGAATTTTAAAATGCTTTTTTTTTTCTAATTACATTTTTTTTTTAGAATTGTAGCTTTACATTGATACATTTGCCAGTCACTTATTCAGTGAGATATTGAATGTATTCAAAGTACATGCATTTATTTTTCTTTTAGCTTTGGGGTAAAAGTGTGTCAGTGGCTTATCTTGTAATTGTTGAGCATTGCCTCCAACCACAGGAAATAGTATAACTACACCAAGTACTATTAAAATGTTGAAAATTGTTTCACTACATTCAAATATTATGAATATTAAAGCATTTCCTGGCTGCTTTATGAAAATGTGAATATTGTTCTGCAACACAAGACTTTAGAATGCGATTCTTGTTCTCATATACAGTATGCCCATTGTTTTATTTCAAATGTACATTGTTCTATATTCCCCAAATGACTCAACTTACACTTATCATATCATATGCATATCATACGCATATCTTATGAAGGGTCACATTTCTGTGGCCCTATATTATAAATGATTACTTCTACTTTTATTTGACTGCAAGACAACTGTAAGTGTCATAACGTACCCCATATATATATATATATATAGGAACTACTTTATTCATATCTTACCAGAATTATAGAAAATTATGCAAACAGAAATATAGCGCTATATATAACTTTAAATAATTCTACACTGAAATAACTTCATTTGTCAATCGAAATGCTTATGTCACAGTGTACACATTACATGTGAAATCCTTTTATTATGTTGTTTAGAATAGAATACATACAATAAATCCAATTTGACTGAATACAAAAAGAGCATCTTACAAGGTTAGTGTTCTTTGATTACAATAACTGACATCTTAATGATCGTGATCTTTCATCCTTGTCTCTGACATGCTTCAGAATGCATTGTCAAAACTTCTCTGCTTTACGGTTTGTATAAAACATGGACTTTTTTTATATTCTTATGTTTGAGACCTCAGCATAACCATGTCTTCATACATTTCTGTTAACCAAGTAATCAGGAGATTTGAAAATATTAAAACTGTTTCTACTAAAGAAGAACGTATACAGCTCGAAACAATTCGTTTGAATTATTCAAGAACATTGACCTTTAAACTGTCTTCTAGCACTGGACTTTTGCTCTAAACGTTTGTTCAAATTGATTTTTACTCTCTATGGACTTGGAAGTACAGATTTGTATGACAAAGACAAGACAATATGGAATAAATAAATGTTTGACTTTTGTCACTTTTGGAATTGCTTTAATAGTTTTCTTTTCTTTTTGGCTGGCATGCACCTAATTTTATCATGCAGATTTGTAGATAATTTATAAATGCCTCCAATTGTAAACACAATATTCCAATCGTGATAAAGTAACAACAGACACCAAGACCTCAAGCTCCACATCAAGGGAATGAAGACGTGCTTGTGTAGTCTGTATATACACAGACAGTAGGAGTTTCTCAGCTTTATTCTAAGGCATGTTTCAGTTTTCCTTGCAAAGACAGAAAAAATCTCTGATATAAATCCTTAGCAGCAGCATTTTACACAAAGCTTGATACTTACAATTGTGTATTATCAGGATTAAAGCCACCTTGATTTCTATAAAGTATACGGACACTCGGTCACATTTGTGACCCTGGAGTCTTAAAGTCGCTGGGGTATATTTGTAGCAATAGCCAAAAATACATTGTATGGGTCAAAATTATACATTTCTCTTTTATGCCAAAAATCATTAGGATATTAAGTAAAGATCAAGTTCCATGAAGATATTTTGTAAATCTCCTACTGTAAATATATCAAAACTTAATTTTTGATTAGTAATATGCACTGCTAAGAACTT